AGCGCCACATTAAATACGCACTAAAATGGCAATAGTTTAAAGCGATTTGAAGCATGTTTTAATTTGGGGGGGGGGGGGGCGGGGAGAAGAGCTTTATGACGTCATATTTGAGGGGGGGTCTGATTTTTTGTGATGCCGTGTGACGAAGGGTGGGGGGGTCAAAAATCGGCCAAAATCGCGTGACGTCATTTATGGACGGCCCCCTACTAGGGTAGCATTGCGAGGCTCCCTAAGCCTTTATAGAAAAAGGGGCATTAATTTCCCATTGATGTCATTGGACGTTCTGGTGGAATGTCACACGTGGCAAACGAGGGTTTTGAGGTTGACATTCTGTCAGTGTATCCATGTCTCAGTAAACATGCGGCGTTTGGTTCAACATTAGCATGTGGTTGAGACCGTAAACGTTGGCCCAACTTTCCATGTTAACTAGGGAGTCGTTTTGATTTAAAGTTTTCGTGACTGCAGGGATTCATATTCTTGGTTCTTTCGGTAAAGTCACGTAGAAAGGAAAGAATAAAATAATACAAATATAAACAATCAAAATTCTCACGACGTTTCGACTGCAACACAAGCAATCATCATCAGGTGTGAAACCACAGCAAGAACATTTTCTTGTTCTACGTGACTTTACCGAAAGAACCAAGAATAGGGAGTCGTTGTTTACATGCACAGCTAATTTGTTAATCCACTGCTGGATGAGGGTAACCCAATACCATGCCAGTGATGGGGTTTTATTTATTTATTATATTTCACTATGCTGGTCAGCGTTTGGTTTGTAGAGACGTGGAGCAAGACAAGGAGGCATAAAGCTCCAGAATAACAAGGGAGTTGTGTTGCACTGTCCTCTGCTGCCCACAACATAACCCCGCAGCAACTTACAACACTTCTTTAAAATGCATTCTTGTCACCCATCCAAGTAACTATTCAGGCTCCAGCCTGCTTAGCTTCTGGGATCTGACAATTGAGCAGCTGCATTTCAGGCGATTTGATCATTGGTCATTGAAATAATGCAACAATATTATAACAACATAAATGAGACAGCGCTTTCGTTGTTAGTATATTCCGATTGTGGTATCAGCATTATTTTCTTTAGATGGACGTTTCCGTTTGGATCTCTGCAGCTAGCAGTGCAGCACCCTGTATGAGAAAATGTCCCGAGAAAATTACATCTTAGACCAGTGGTTCTTAACCTGGGGATACACGCACCCCTTGGGAGTGCGAGATGCCCTTTATGGGGGTGCGAGACAGCTACTTTGTTTCATCAAACCTATGTGTTTCAAAGATTTTTTTTTACGATTGAGAACCAAAGAGCTGCAGTGAAGGTTAAGAACCACTGCCTTAGAATGACCTCTGAAAACATTGCGTTGTTAACCACAGGAAGACAAAACCTTTTTAATGCCCTGCAAAGAAGCTACATTGCCTCTCCAATAACACAACATTATTCGTATTGTTATATCTCAGCAATAGAATACATGTACACCAACGCAAGCGGAAAACCAAAAGGTAGCCTGATTCCTGTGTTTGAGCATTCATTGGTAAACCGGGCTGAGACCATCAATTTGCTACAAGATATAATCACACCCTGGAGTCACGCATGCCACTACCTCACTACGTCTTCTTGGGTGGCTGTCATCTACTTGAGGAGGGCGAATTAACTAGAAGATACATTATTTTTTATGTTTATTATTAATTATAATTATTATATGGTGGCAAGGTTGGCCATGTGTTAATTTGTGTCCACATTTACCGCACACATGTGTGGAGTAATTTAAATAAAACCTAACTGCAACAGGTTTGAGATCTAGACGAGTACACTAATGAAATATAAAGTGTAGCAAAAGGGCATACATACCTGCCAACCCCTTATCAGTGCCCTACCTTATTACAGACCAATTCAGACCTTATTAGTCACCCCGTGCCATTATAAATCTCAACGTTCATCCTACAGTCCAACCACAAGGGAGAAACACAAACAAATAGACAAAAAAATGTTTTGCTCGTATTGAAACAGCTGTACGTCGTATCGACCTGTACAAAATTACGGGGTAAACTGTATCGCTTGACAGGTACAGTGAGGGAAAAAAGTATTTGATCACCTGCTGATTTTGTACGTTTGCCCACTGACAAAGAAATTATCAGTCTATAATTTTAATGGTAGGTTTATTTGAACAGTGAGAGACAGAATAACAACAAGAAAATCCAGAAAAACCCATGTCAAAAATGTTATAAATTAATTTGCATTTTAATGAGGGAAATAAGTATTTAAACCTTTAAGAGTGCTCCGAATCTCAGCTCGTTACCTGTATAAAAGACAGCTGGGAGCCAGAAACCTTTCTGATTGAGAGGGGGTCAAATACTTATTTCCCTCATTAAAGTGCAAATCAATGTTAAACATTTTTGACATGCGTTTTCCTGGATTTTGTTGTTGTTATTCTGTCTCTTACTGTTCAAATAAACCTACCATTAAAATTATAGACTGATCATTTCTTTGTCAGTGGGCAAACGTACAAAATCAGCGGGGGATCAATTACTTGTTTCCCTCACTGTAGGTGATGGCAAGGTTGGCCATGTGTTAATTTTTGTCCACATTTACCGCACAGATGTGGTGCAGTAATTGAAATAAAGCCAAACTGCAACAGGTTCGAGACACTAGACGAGCACACAAATATTTTTTTTTAAATAAATGTAGCAAAAAGGGGGCATGTTTAACGTAAGCATTGCTTGTGCATATTGTGATATTGAATAGCAACATCCACAACTCCCTGCCTTTGTCCATTGGGAAATTAAATGGCGCCCTTCCCCGCACGGCTAAATAAGCCGGCAGTTAAGGAACCGTGGCAAACTAATGCGGTGAACAACAAAAAAAAACACCGTGATACCTGTCACTTAGCGTTGCAGGGCACTTGCAAACAAATGTGAACGCTTCCGAGAATTTGCAACAATGCCACGAGAAATGTGCCGCCGGGCTCTGGAGACCACCTGCAGGCGATTGCAGGGATGTTGTTGACAACGATGGCGAACGATTGGAGACTCATTATGAGACCTCCTTTGCCAGTAACAAGATATAGTAAAAGGTTTTACCCTTTTTAACTGGCACAAAAACTGCTCACCCCGAGCCCTCAATACTCTGATAGTGCGCTGTTTTTGAGTTGTACGCCTTTTGGCGTCTTCTGGTCCAACACCAGTGTAGACTAGGCTCTAAGAAAAGCCGTCTCGGGTGTGAACCAATCAAATTCAAGGACAGTGCTTATTATTATCAGAGTTGTCTCTTTTGTTTGCATTTTGACTGCTTGTGTTGTAGTTATTGCAAACATGATGCCTTGAATAAAGGTGTCAGTTTTTGTGCCAGTTAAAAAGGGTAAAACCTATTACTATAATTGGAGACTCTTTGACTTTTTGAAGCTATTAACATTACATTTGTTATCACGTTACAGTGTAGTATCTGTTCTTTTTCCATCAAAAACGATAGTTCCATATTAGTGTTACATTTCTCTGAAGCAGCCTGTATAATAAATTAAGTAATGGTACAGTCATATTTTTGTGGGCAACTTTTTACACTGCATGTGTGTTTGCTTACATGGAGTAAAATGATAACAGGCGTTTACTTGTCAAATGCGAGATTCAAATGACAGTAAATGCATGGCCTTCGGTCGTGCCTGTGCGCTAACTGGGTGAAATGGCCAACCTCTTTGGGATGAATCTCGCCGTAGATTTATGTCGCTGGAGGGGTATAATAATTAGATCAAGAGGTCAACGAATTCAATGTGGTTGAGACCACACCCAGCTATTGCTTCCTCCCTTCCTTCTGCCAAGTCCTTGAGCTGTTACAGTCGACCACAATTGTCACTGAGGACCACTCTTTGAGAATCATCATTACTACTATCATCTGGGTACCACTCAATTACCTGTCTGGGTCAACTTGCACACAACAATGTTTGCAGTACTAAATGTAGTCTCCATCGACCAGGCATTCTTGGCGAATGAGACTTTGAAAATAATTATTGACTCTCACCTGCTTCAGTTTAGGACATTTCTCTTCTATGAATCGTATCTCTGAACATGCTCTTCCCTGAACAAGGTACTTCATATTTATAAACATGAAAGGGTTTTGGAAAAGTCAATTACAAATCTTTGTAATCACTTGGAAAAATACACGTCTCATTGAAGACGAAATTTCTAAAAAAGTAAAAATGTTAGTGGAGTTTGTTAATAGATTACTTTAGGACACAGTCAATGAAAAAAACATGTGGGATATTTTATTATTAATGTGTCACATGTACGGCCCTTCTGTCACCTCGCTGCTGAATTAGGGCCTCCCCAAACCATTCGGGGAACGGGGTGGTTGTTTGACCATGCTTCACCACGCTGCTCCGTGCTGGGTTGTTTTAACCAATGCTCGTGTAACTACCAGATGTTTACCGGCGAGGCCCTCTCTGTTAGATATGAACATTGGTTCAAGCCAGCTTGACTGCTTATGAGACGCGGAATGTCAAAACCGGTCCAGAATTTGTTTCTGAAAAAAATTAAGAATAGGTTTTATCCGTTTTACCCTTTCGGGCAACAACAAAAAAAACCACAATATTTCCAGAAAGGGTAAAAGCTATTCTTATTCTTATTTTTCACACTTTGATACTGGCAAAAAGGTGCCAATTTGTTTCTGTTGACCCAAATCGGCGAAAATAATGTCCCCCCCATCACCCCCCAGAAGACCATGCGGCTGATGGGATGTGTAAAACATATTTGCCTTTTATATCTAGTACATTGTTTTTACGTGGAGGCAGGGATCGTGCGAAGGAGACGTAGTCGAAACGTCGTACTCGAATTGTAAATGCTGTGGGTTTGCTCTCCAACGCACCGGTGTGCTGAAGTAGTAACGAATTGGCACGTTCTGTTGACGTGACAACTCTCGCTAATTGGCGGCGTCGGGTGGTGGCGGGTTAAACGACACATTTATATATTTACGCGATCTATCCCCTAAAAAAACAACACATTTATTAAGGAGACGGTGATCTTCTCATTTTGATTTTGCTGTACTGCCCTCTGCTGGCCATCACATGCAAAGCCCTTCGCTTGAGAATGAGGCCGACTGGTGAAAATCACCGCGGTCCCTAAAGTCTCCCACCCGCCTCCATTCATCCTCCTGCTCGCGTCGCCGTCCGTCGCTAAGCACCGGGACCCCGAGACTCTGGGACCCCGAGACTCTGGGACTGAGACTCTGGGACCCCGAGACTCTGGGACCCCGAGACTCCGGGACCCCGAGACTCTGGGACTCTGGGACCCTGAGACTCTGGGACCCTGAGACTCTGGGACCCTGAGACTCTGGGACCCCGAGACTCTGGGACCCCGAGACTCTGGGACCCCAGGACTCTGGGACTCTGAGACTCTGGGACCCTGAGACTCTGGGACTCTGGGACTCAGAGACTCTGAGACTCTGGAACCCTGAGGCTCTGGGACCCCGAGACTCTGGGACTCTGAGACTCTGGGACTCTGAGACTCTGGGACCCTGAGACTCTGGGACCCCGAGACTCCGGGACCCCGAGATTCCGGGACCCTGAGACTCTGGGACCCCGAGACTCTGGGACTCTGGGACTCTGAGACTCTGGAACCCTGAGGCTCTGGGACCCCGAGACTGGGACTCTGAGACTCTGGGACCCTGAGGCTCTGGGACCCCGAGACTCTGGGACTCTGAGACTCTGGGACTCTGAGACGCTGGGACTCTGAGACTCTGGGACCCCGAGACTTTGGGACTCTGGGACCCTGAGACTCTGGGACCCTGAGACTCTGGGACCCTGAGACTCTGGGACCCTGAGACTCTGGGACTCTGGGACTCTGGGACCCTGAGACTCTGGGACTCTGAGACCCTGGGACCCTGAGACTCTGGGACCCCGAGACTCTGGGACCCTGAGACTCTGGGCCTCTGGGACTCTGAGACTCTGGGACTCTGAGACTCTTGAGACCCTGAGACCCCGAGACTCGGGGACCCCGAGACTGCAGGACACCGAGACCCCGAGGCTCCGGGACCCTGAGACTATCGGGAACCCAAGGCTGCAGGACCCCGGTACCCTGAAGATCCCTGACTGTGGGACGTACTGACCGACGAATTCACATACGGACGGACTGATGAACAGTCGGACTGACGGACAATCAGTCAAACGGACAGGTGGACAGATTGACTTGACATACTGACTTGACTGACGGAAGAACAGACTGACTGACGACGAACTGACTGACGAACAGACTGACAGACGAACAGACTGACTGACTGACGAACAGACTGACTGAGTAACAGACTGACGAACAGACTGACTGAGTAACAGACGAACAGACTGACTGAGTAATAGACTGACTGACGTACAGACTGACTGAGTAACAGACTGAGTAACAGACTGACTGGCGAACAGACTGACTGAGTAACAGACGAACAGACTGACTGACAAACAGACGAACAGACTGACTGAGTAACAGACTGACTGACAGACTGACTGAGTAACAGACTGACTGGCGAACAGACTGACTGAGTAACAGACGAACAGACTGACTGACAAACAGACGAACAGACTGACTGAGTAACAGACTGATTGAGTAACAGACTGACAGACGAACAGACTGACTGACGAACAGACTGACTGACTGACTGACAAACAGACGAACAGACTGACTGAGTAACAGACTGATTGAGTAACAGACTGACAGACGAACAGACTGACTGACGAACAGACTAACAGACGAACAGACTGACAGACGAACAGACTGACTGACTGACTGACGAACAGACTGACTGACGAACAGACTGACAGACGAACAGACTGACAGACGAACAGACTGACAGACGAACAGACTGACTGACGAACAGACTGACTGACGAACAGACTGACAGACGAACAGACTGACTGACGAACAGACTGACAGACGAACAGACTGACTGACGAACAGACTGACTGACGAACAGACTGACTGACTAACAGACTGACTGAGTAACAGACGAACAGACTGACAGACGAACAGACTGACTGAGTAACAGACTGACTGATGAACAGACTGACGAACAGACTGACTGACGGACAGACTGACTGAGTAACAAACTGACAGACGAACAGACTGACTGACGAACAGACAGACTGACGAACAGACTGACTGACGAACAGACTGACTGACGAACAGACTGACTCAGTAACAGACTGACAGACGAACAGACTGACTGACGAACAGACAGACTGACTGACGAACAGACAGACTGACTGACGAACAGACTGACAGACGAACAGACTGACTGACGAACAGACTGACTGACGGACGAACGCATGAACTCTGTGAGCTGCAGGTGCAATCCCATATTCGCCGGCACACATTTGGCAGGTAGCTGTGGATAAATTTTTTTAAGTTTTATATGAATATTATTCAAATACGATATATACGCTTGTTAAGTCACTGAGCCTGAAGAGTATGTTGTGTATGTCCGAGCTCGTTTGCAGGTTAATTAAATGTCCCCATGTATGTGATGCTGTATTCTATTAACTACTGCGGTATATGGGGGGGGGGGGAGCGGTGGCGCAGTGGTTAGCGCAATGCGCGTATTGACCACCCATGTCCGACACGAGGAAGGTTCTTCATCCAGCAGTGGATTGACAAAGAGGCTGTGCATTGCACAACTCTGCAAAGAGTGTTACACGCTCGCCTCTGACGGGCATCTGTATATTCGCAAGACACGAATACTGCAGCACAATCCGTGCATTTGTTCAACGCAGGGCTTGTGCTGTGAAGAAGGGCACATGTCCGAAACGTCGCCTATTTAATAAAACTGGCTATTTTAAGACAGTGTTGCAGACGAGTGTGTTGAGTTTTCGGCGTTGATTTGTGGAGCCAGTGTCCTCACACCGAGGTGTCAGTGACCACACAATTCGGACCTTATTGGTCACCCCATGCCCTTAAAAATCTCAACTATCATCCTGCAAAGAAGTCTCATCACAAGGGAGAAACACAAACAAATAGACATTTAGTTTTGCCTGTATTGAAACGGCTGTACGCCGTATGGACCTGAAACCTCAATTTCCCTGTACAAGAATACGGGGTAAACCGTGTGTGTTGACACGGTATGTGTTTCTGTCACTTTTCTGTACTGTATTTTTTTTTATTGCAGCACCGTAACGACAAGAGGAGGCCCGGGACACATCAACGATAGCTCTGTGGCGCCCCCTGACTCACCACGCGTGGAACAGAGAGGTACGTCATCCTGCACATACGTCAGATGAACTGATTATTATTACAATTATACATTTTCGGGGGGGGAGAGAGGGAGTGGGGATAATTGCCATGTATATTCCAATTTCAAATTTGGGACCAAGACTCCAGCACACAATGGCCTAACTCTTACTTTTTGGTCAATGCACCCACCGCAGTATTAACTGGGGTGGCCGCTGGGAATTAGAACCGTGAGCATCTGCAATGAGCGGCAAACGGCGATACCACAAGGCTACCTGATAGCACGCACTGGCCCTTAATGTCATGATCAGAGCTGGGATGTCAGATTATTTACGTCTGTGATTATGCTACCGATTATATTATCGTTTATATTGCTCGACTATTGGGTAATGCGAAAATAATTTGGGGGAGACAGGGTGGGGGTGGGGGGTGAGTCTCACGTCTCTTTCCGATGGGAGATAATCGGCTGGGCATGGTCGATAACATCGACTTCATGAACTCTAGTTTGCCAGCTCTAATCATTATCATAGCTATCCGTGATTCTAGATTTGAAGCTTTCGTGACTGCAAGGATTCACACTCTTTACCGAAAAAACCAAAGACTATCTGTGATTGTCTATCCAATGCTGGCTGAAGGTGTCCCCCCATACTGTTACCGTTGTTTATTGTCCCGTGATGCCGCATTTCTCATCGCGGCCACGCGCTCTCTCATCTGAACGCACCATCTCCGTGGTAGTTGTGCTCTTGGGTGCGTTTCTCTCCTTCGGCTACGATTTTGTCACCAGTCTTCTCCGTCGGGCATCAAGCCCTTCTAGCGCCGTGTTTTTAGCGCAAGCCCATTGACTTACTAACTTGTGCCGTATAACGTGCTCATCGCTCATTAGACTGGCTTGGTTTGGCTTCGCAGATATGCTGCCAACGGTGTTTTCTAAAATGCGATGCTTTGGATGTGCGATTCTCACGCTGGTTGTGCTTGAAGCTGATAAATGCATACATCTGAGCAGCTTAATGCTGTGAGCTGTTTAGTACCTGCACCACCGTTTCACTAAATCACACCAATTGGCACGTCTGTCCTTCTACTCGATCGCAGCTTGTCCTGCATGCTCCGTGGAATTTCTGTCACAACCTTTCATGCCACAGTGCATCCCAAAAAGCCTTGCCAAGGAAATGTAATCTGGTGCCCGTTAGATTGGATTGGCTTGCCCCTGGATAGTTATTAATTCATTCACTGCACACAGTGGTATAGGCATACTTTGTTGCGCATGAGAGCATTCATTTTATTGGCCATACTTTTTAGATTCCCTGCAGACACGATAGTGTGGGTCTCCTCATTAAATTATATACACTGTGCTGTGTAGGTGTGCATATAATACATAATTCATTAATTGCCCTTAAGCTGTAGGTTCTTTGCAGCATAGGTTGATTGATAATCGAGCACTCGCTGATTCACTCCAATCAACTCGCTCGCTGACAGTCAGTCACCTCAATGTCACTCTTCCAATTGCTGCCACTGGTCGCCGTTTCCACAATCGTCTCATCGATACCATGTTCAACCCACTAACACTGCAGGTCACAACACTTCCTCTTTTTGCGACATCCATCGCACTGTTCGGCTTTGGAGTGCCCTCCCACCATATCTTTACCCGAGTTCTTCGAACCGTGCTCCAAGAAACGCATTTTACTCGCATCTATTGGGACTTCAACGACGATATTTTGTTACTGGCCACTTGGTGTTTTGAGCTTCAGGGTCTGTGCTCAGCAAACCCTGAAAACATTCTATTCTGCTCAGATTCATCACTCCCTCCCTTATCTCCACCTTTGCCAAACAAAGCCTTTGTGTAGCATTGCAGGATGCACTTTTTTTCACGATTTTTTTGCTTATTGTTGCCTGTCACCAGCTATGGACCATTTAAAAATATATATAAATAAAAACATGATTGCATCTTAAGTACCAAAGCTCTACAGATTAATGTGCCAATCTCCGTGGTTGAAATTACACTGCACATAATGTTTGATGTATTTTGTGATGGATAGTTAATTAAGCATTGGGGTTTTTTTCTACATATTTTTTTAGAGACTGAAAACTGTCCTCACAAAGGCAAGCGCGGAATTCTCCGCACATTTGATGCTCACAAATCCAGAAATCTCTGGGGAATGTAAGCTATGTGACGCCAGGTGTGGCTGTTCTTCCAAAATCCTTTCTCAGCTCGATGTCATTGACAGATTAAAAGCGATTATCAACAAGAAGTGAAAGCGTGAGTTGGGGATTTTAAACGTCTCATCTGTCCACCTTTAAGCTTTCACACTGCCAAAATCAATAGGCTGTATTGATATTTTAGAAATGTATACCCACTATCCAGTGCAGAGGGAATACTTGAGATGAGATTTTAAGATGGGTATAATTCCATTATAAATTCAGATTATAATCGATCTTTCAAGAGCAGTGTATTTTGTTTTGAGAACACGTCTGTTAGTGTATTCAGAAAAATATGAATTGCCTCTCTGGCATGCTCAACAGTTTCATAGGTTTTTTTGTTGCATGAACACCATTGCAAGACGTTAGGCTTAGTATACATGTAAAGAACATTTCAACTTTAGCCAGAGAACGTTTTACTGGTAGGTACCTCCTGGTTACACCAGCCCACAGGGGATTATTGTGTCCGTCCGTCCGTTGTGCATCCAAAAATGGGAGGGGTGGGGCTGGGTGGAGAGGGGAGGGTGGGGAGGGGCTGGGTGAGGAGGGAGGGGCTGGGTGGGGAGGGGAGGGTGGAGAGGGGCTGGGTGGGGAGAGTGGGGCTGGGTGGGGAGGGTGGGGCTGGGTGGGGAGGGTGGGGCTGGGTGGGGGGTGGGAGGGGTGGGGCTGGGTGGGGAGGGGCTGGTCACCCCGTGGTGCCCTTATAAAACTCAACATTTAACCTATTCATGCCGGCTTGTGCCCGCCCTCACAGTCGGGCATATTTGCGGAATACACCACGCCGCTGTTGACCCTGGCTATTGACCGAGCAACCCAACGTTCCTACCAGCTCCCTCTGCAGGAATGCGTTTGAATGCAACACTGTTGTTAGAGAAAAAAATATACTTCATTTTCTGTTCCTGGCTTTAACACAGCGGATGGTAATAATTTTTTTCCTAACTTATATACATTAAATTTTGATTTAAAGCTTTCGTGACTGCAGTAATTCATATTCTTAGCTCTTTTGGTAAAGTCACGTTGAAGGGAAACAATAAAATAATAAAATATATATATAACAATAAAAATTATCACGACGTTTCGACCAATACACAAACGGTCGTCATCAGGTGTGTCGGTTTGCATTGACACCTGATGACGACCGTTTGTGTTATGGTCGAAACGTCGTGAGAATTTTTATTGTTTTATATATATTTTATTATTTTATTGTTTCCCTTCAACGTGACTTTATATACATTAGTGAAACTATTTTATATCACCGCCAAGTTACAACATTCTGAATATATGCATTCTGTTTCTGTCTCCAAAAAATGTGTGTTGAGTGCAGAGTTGAACGGCATTACCTCCCTCGCCAATGCAGGTTACTTTAAAGACAACTTGACCGTCACTGCTAAGAGTGCGTGCCAAAAAAAATATTCAGCTATATACACATCGTGGCGCTCTTGCTTATGCAGTAGTTTTTAGTATCCAAGTATCCTGCCATCATTAGCAAGGTTGTTTTCTATCAACATTACTTTAATATTGTAAATATTGTAGCAGTTTGTGAAGATGATTTATCAGCTTGCAGCTGGAATGGGTGATTTCGTTCAAATCAAGAACAATTTAATATATTGTCAGGCACTAAGGTGAACTCCTCTCGCTTTAGTTGCTCCAGTTATAATCCCATCATCACAAACATCTTAAAATTACTGTTATGGTTTCCATGAACTTAAGCCCATGAGCACCGCTCATTGTGCCGCCGCTGTAGACATCATCTCCGTACCAAGTAGATAACGGCAGTGGCAAGGATCCCCGTCGACCATGAACGTGCCAATGCTTCTCAACGGCGTCCTCCTGCCGGTGCTGGCGGCCGTACTCTGGCAATATGTGCGCGTGCATGAGCGCGCCAGCCAGGCGGAGGAAGAGCTGCGAGCCGCTCGCGCCAGCCCGCTGCTGTCGCCCGCCGACTACACCGCCGCGCTGGACGAGCTGCACGCCCTCGGCACCGCTGCCGTCTGCACCGGCAAGGTGCACACCGACCGGCTGTGCCGCTTCCAGCGCCTCTGCTATTGGTCGGACGCCGACGAGTTCGTGTTTTTCCACGGGCCCGGCTCGGTGGCGCTGCCCAGCCTCGGCGCCCGCCGATTCCAGCCGGCGCTCATGGATTTGTCGTCCGTCGACGATCACAACACGCAGTACTTTAATTTCGTCGACATGCCCGTGTCAGCCCTGGGCGGCCTGCCCCAGCCCGTCTTCCTGTCTGACCCGGCGTTGATCTTCAACCGTTTCAACCCAGGCAACATCATGCACGTTCTTCACGACGATCTGCTCCCGGCTTTTTACACCCTACGACAATTTGGCGAGCTAGGCAATGAGGCCAGGCTGATCTTTTCTGAAGGCTGGTCGGAGGGTGCACACTTCGACCTGTACATGTTGCTCACAGACCGCCGCCCGCTGCTCAGAGAAGACCTTGCCAGACTGGGTCCATTAGTTTGCTTTCCGCGTGCATACGTGGGTGTCAGTAAGCTGGTGACTTGGTACCAGTATGGCTTCACACAACCGCAGGGGCCTAAGCCCAATCTCCTGGTATCGGGAAATGAGGTCCGACACTTTGCTGACTTCATCCGAGAGAGACTGAACGTGTCCGTACCAGAGTTCAACTTCAGTGAACAAAACAGCGCGAATTTAGGTTCTCAGGACAGTGACTGTGACACAAATTCCAAGACTGAGTGCACCATTGCGTCCGGTGAGAAACCAGCAGGGACGAGCCCCAGCTCTCTCGGTTCTACCGCTGACCACGGGCAAAGTGCAGAAAACAACCCTGTCGGCAATGCCGTGACTGGCCACTCGGTGGTTCTGTTCCGGCGGACACTGAACCGGCTGATCCTGAACGAAGCAGAGCTGATCGTGGCCCTGGCACAGGAGTTTTCCACGCGTGTGCTCGTCGTGTCTGAGGAGTCCCACTCCTTCCCCGAGCTGGTGCGAATTCTGAGCGGCGCGTCCGCCCTCGTTGGCGTCCACGGCTCCCACCTCGCCCTCGCCGCTTTCTTGCCGCAGGGAGCAGCTCTTGTGGAGATTTTCCCGTACGGCGTGAATCCGACGCACTACACGCCGTACCGCACGCTCTGCGGCCTGCCGGGAATGGGCCTGGTGTACGCGGCGTGGAGAAACGAGCGGCGCGGCGACTCGGTGGCGCACCCGCAGCGGTCGTGGGATGAGGGTGGCATCGCCCACCTGCCCCCGGCCGAGCAGGAGCGCATCGAGCGCAGTGCCGAGGTGCCCCCCCACCTCTGCTGCCGCAATCCCGAGTGGCTCTACCGCATCTACCAAGTGAGTGCTTCGTTGTCCAGGGCTGGAAATGTCCATTTCCTCTCATGTTAATTTGTGGGCGTGTTTGAATATAACATTTCCAATCAGTCTTCGGAACGAGAAATTGCAGTGAATGGGGCATGAGCCTCTTACTCATGTGCAATATTTTGTCTGCTATGTGTTGCCACTAGATGGCAGACCTGCCATTGATTAAAGATGGTAGTGCCCTTGCATAAGTGCACAAAAGCAGAAAACCGAGCGGTTATTATTTTTTGGCCTCTGAGAATGAAGCTGCAAAGTGGAGACAACTGTATGATTTGTGGCAATGTTTTTAAATTGACGGAAGGGCTGCATTGAGGCAAACATGTATTGCCTGTGCATAGGGATTAGGCCAATATGACCCAACTAGCACAAATCCAGTTTTGCTTATGGTCTCCCATTAAAATTTTGGAACCCAACAAACGCATACTTTGAATACATTTTACTTTTCATTGATTATTGAATGAGGCATGCATCATTCATACTCGCCTGTTTCTAAAGTCATTCTCTCCATGTGATGTTGATCTAAAGATAAAGCACCAACTGGCCTACAACTTACGTTGCCATCACAAATACTGCTCACATTCTAAATTTAGCTATTCCACACTTCATTAAGGTTGTCAACGTATTTAAATATCAGCGTCGATATTTGTGCAAGTTACAGCTCAAAAATTACCAAACAATAAAAATTTCTCACCTAACAATTTATACGGTTATTTTATGCTCCCACATCTATGCTCACCTCCCTTCACAAACCACACTGACGAGTGTGGTGAAGTATGGTCATAAAAAAAACCCAAGACCTGCATGGCTTAGGGAAGCTCTCATCCAGCAGTGGAATGACAAAATGGCCGTACATATACACGAACACCTTAAAATGTTACACTGCGCACTTGACTGCCTTTTAACAAACACATTTTTAACGTGCGATATGTGTGGAGAGTCGGGTTATTTCCTCGTGTGCGTGCCAGTCACCACGCCCTCGGTTGAATGACCCTAACTAAAACCGGCATCCCGTCGTCCCGTCCAGGACACACGTGTCAACATCCCGTCCTTCCTGGCGACGGTACGAGCGGCGCTGGGCGACCGTCCTCCCTCCCCGAGCGATGCCCCCGCGGTTCCCGTCATGTTCCCGGGCCGCGTGAGGGCCGCTCGCTGCGAGGCTGTGAACCGACAAGACGCCGGCTCCCAGGGGACAGCCACGGGCTCCGCAGCTGGCCTCCTCGTGTCGTGGGAACCACCGTGGAATCTGCCCTTTCTCAAAGTGCCCTCGGTATTTCCCCTTTCTCAGAGTTTTTCCCTTCTTCTCCTCCTCCTTCTCCTCCGTGATATTTTAAGACCACTGTTGCTGTTGTGCATCGGTTGGATCCAGAGATCTCTCGGTACGGCAGTTTAAACAATGGGCAGGGTTGTTTTTTTTTTTTACGATCTTAAAGTGGCATTTTCACGGGTTAACTGGATTCATGAGAATGAGCATTACGTATGGATATTAGGTTTTGTTACTTGCCCATTGATGAAACAACAGGCAACTTCATGAAATACCCCCCCCCACCCCACCTGGCCACTCGGAAGTATGTATGGGCACAGCGCAGTCGAACGACAGGTCGCATTTGGTGGGGTCAAGTGTGGGTACTCCCACCTCTTTGAAAATATCTAGCCAGCGTGGAAGAGTAGGCCAAATACTGTCTATATAATCTTTCTAAAGTTCCCTCTGATGGAGGCCCTTCTACCAGCAATGGTGTGAACGAGACAGTTCAGGCCTGCACCTTTATCTTTTTTTTGCTGTCATTGTAGGTGGCAGTGCAGCAGAGTCCATTGTTGTACTGCACTACTATGCTCCTCTGTCTATGCTCCCTGCCGTCACCATCCCACATTGACGATTGCAGTGAAGGATGGCCAAGTAATAATGCAAATAAAGCGTACACTAAAGGATAACATCATGAATCAATAATAGTGGCTTTATTCTGAGCTACTCTTCTGGCGCCCACAACGTAGCACAGCCACACCAGTGCTTACAACGAGCCGTGCGCACATGAGCGTCAACCGATCCCGGGAATTATCCAAGGCTCAAGATTTCAAATCTAAAACAAAATTTAACTCTGTATTTATAAGGTAAGGTTCACTGAGCTATATAGCTCTTTTTCAGAAGTGACCTGGCCACAAATGGATGGCGTATCGTGTGGAAATTTAAAGCAGCCAAATACTTGAAACGCATTATTCTAAACGGGGAGGGAAAAACCGGAGGACCCGGCAGAAACACCTACGCGACCACAGGGAGAACATGCAGCTACAAATATACATGCATCAGGGTCGGGATCGAACCTACGGCCTCGTGCACACCAGGCGAGGTAGTTAACATCTCGCCACCTGATGCGATCGGGGCACATGCTGGGCGATTTGGTCTTAGGGTTTTCATCTGCATGGCCTTTGTGTACTCTCTGTCTCCGACTCCATCCCCCCCCGCCACCCCACCTCACCCCTCTGTTATTTCTGCCGCTCCCACACTCGCCGAACCCCGCAGCACGAGGTGCGTTACGAGGTGTGGATCCAGGAGCTGGGCGAGAACACGTACACGCCCTACATCCTGCCCGTCCTCAACCACACGTTTCGCGAGCACGTTCGCCCGCACGCCACCTACCACGTGTGGGTCCGTTGCCTGCTCGGGGAGGCCCTGCAGGGACCCTTCGCGGAGGCCCTCGTCTGCAACGCCTGAGCAACGACGCAAGTTTTTGCACGGGCGGGCATCGCACGTCGGCGAGGGCTCGCGCGGGAGTGGCGCGCGGGAGTGACGCGCGGGAGTGACGCGCGTTCACGGGCGTTTGCGTTCGTGTGCATATATACCCGTCCGTGGAAACCGTCACGTGGAAATAACAATTCGTAAACGGCTCTTCTGAACAATCGCACGTGCGCGGTACAGCGCCTTTCCGCCTTTCTAAATGGATACACCACAGTCTACTGGCAGGTTGTGTGTGGTGGAGGGTAGTGTGGGTATACCCCCAGCTGTATCAAAAACGGCTGGCCAGTGTGGATGAGGAGGCTAATACATCCTCTGGGGGAGCTCCCCAGAGCTCCCTTGAAGCCAAGTCCGTTCTGCCGGCAGTGGCGTAAGGAAGCAATTCCCAGGCTGTATCTTTACCTTTTACGACCCCTTTGTCAATTCACTTTTAGATGTCGACCTCCCCACACCGTGCTGGGTCATGGGGGTTATTTGATCTTACTTCACTTCACAAGTCAGTGTGGGTTGGTGAAAGTGAGGAACATAGAATCTGAGAGCATATTACAGTACAACAGAGTCCATGACGCAGCCCCACAGCATCTCCAACACCTGTTTTGTGCATGCTTGCCTTCCATCCATTTACTATCCAAACTCATCACTGCATAGCGCATCCAGGATAAATAAACATTCTGATTCTGAATACATTCAATATTGTTATTATTTATAAAATTTGTAGTTTTCACCCATGAAGTTTGGGGCGCCGCGGTGGTGAGATGTTAACTCTCTTGCCTGGTATGCAGGAGATCGTAGGTTCAATCCCGACCCTGACGCCTGGATATTTGGAGTCTCAATGTTCTCCCCGTGGTCACGTGCTATTTTCTCCGGGTCCTCCGGTTTTTCCCTGCACATTTAGAAATGTGCCCTTTGAGCATTTGGCTGCTATACATGTCCACCTGATGAGCCACTTCGTTGACCTACCATTTGTGGCCAGGTTGCTTCTGAAAAATATCTATATAGCTCAGTGGCCCTTACATGTTAAAATAAAAAAATAATAACATTTATTTATGTTCCTGCGTTGATTGTCTTTTTACGCATTTGTTTGCACGTTGCGTTATTGTTTTATGGTATAGCTATATGAGAAGGAATTGCTATTAAAGGCACAGACAGATCCTTAAAATGCATTGCCTCTTCTCCCACTTTGCTCTCAGTGCACGTTAAACCCATTAACAGTGGCCAAGATACATTGACCCCACATTAGTGGAAATCATTAAAGCCCTAAGTATTGACCCCAGCTTGCTTCTACAAGGCTGTCAAAGTGCACCGAGAGCTCCGCTGTTATTGGAACCCTTTTGGGGTTTTTTTACATTTTATTATTTATACAACTGTCGCTCTCGGATGTGTAATTGCAACAAAAAGGGATGAGGTCACTGTAAAAATTAGCGACACCGACTTACGGCACGTGTGTTTCAGATCAAGATGGCACATACCACTTTAAGCATTGTGTGAATAAATATTTGGGAAGCAGTCGTGCTGCAATAGCTTACTCATTTGACTATGCAGCATCGAGGTTCACGTCACTTGAGAGTCGTACGAACACATCATTGCTTGCACAAGAATGCATCCTAACTTACCCACCGAAACCCATTGCATTTTAGTGGAATTCAGAGTGGGCCTTTACGTCTCAATAACGCGAGCCTCGTGCTCTATTGCTACCGTTGTGGGTTTTTTAAAGCAATAAATGGCAGAGAGCAAAATTACTCAATTTCGCAGGAGCTGAAAAGTTGGAATATTTTCCAACCCAGCTTAATATTGTTTGCGAAGACGAAACAATTAATTCCTCCGAGGCAAAGCCAGGTTTGAGATATAGCCAGTCCTGGCCATCAGCCTCCAACACCAATCTGACTCCACTGCTGATGAATTTAACAGTTGGCCTCTAGCGAATAAGAAGCTGAGGCAAATAAGATACTGCCTTCAGCCTCGTGACTACCCCCCACATTAAATCATGTAATATATCAGTATAGAAAGCCCTCTGGGGCCGGAGGTGTTAATATTTGAAATGTAGACGCACCTATGTGTGTTCCAACTGTGTGTTTTGTGAAAGTTTGGTGGTTGAAGTTGTATTTTTGCACCTGTGCAATAGACTTGTATGGCAAAGCATACGATGGCATATGAACAAAAGTGATTTGTTGAAAACAAATTGACTTCCTTATTAATATGGTTATTTGCAATAGCTCGCTTGTGCACGTGTGCCCGTTCAAAAGAAAACGTCGCTTGAAAAAATGTGTTTCGCTGAGAGCTGGCATTGAAAAATGAGAACAAAACAAACTCCCACTGTGCGACTAATGGAAGGGGGGAACACACCAAAAAAAAAAACATGAAAAGAAAAATACATTAAAAACCGGCGTATCAAGCGGCCAAGCGTTATTTAGCAAACATGTGCTGAGGACGCGCGCGTGGAGATCCTATGCGTGGGGACGCCGCGCCTAACGTGGTTCCAATACTGCAGGCTGCAGCGAGCTCGCCGTCTGCCGCTGCCCGTGATTGATTGGACACAGATGACCTTAATCCAGAGCTGCAGTGCAGATAAACCGCATCTGTCGACCAGATTAGGTTACGTCGTGCGAAAGCGCCACCGGCACCAGTGTTTGGAGGCGGAAAAATTACGTCCAACGACATTGCTGATCGGCTCACTGGCCATGCTTTAGATAAACGTACGAGGTTTATATGCTTGAGCAGTATAGTGTGAATGCAGCGGTGGTTTTAAAATGATCTCCTTTGTGTTGGCCGCTCTACGGCGGTCGGACGTTTTAACGAGGTACGGAGGGGTCTGTGAGTTTCAAGTCGGAAGCCCGCCCTGCTGTTGTTTCAGTTCTCCCCATGCCAAAATGCTGTTTGATCTCGCCAGGCCCGAGAATAATTCTCGCACTTTCAGTTGTGTGGCTTGTGATCCAAACTGTTCGGTTCTATTGCTCGCTTACGGTTCTTTTGGTAAAACTTAAAAGACATCTCCCAACCAAAGTCCATCTTTGGAAAACGATCACTGTGTGTGCGTGCCACAGATCAAAAAAATGCTTCGACAGCTCTGTCGTTACACTGTACTGTATTATGTCTTGTTCACTTTAGCCACATTAACGAGGTGTTAAGAAGAAGTATAGGACAGCCAGCATTGTTGTCCCCAAACCTGAATCACGCCTCATCACTAGCACATAAGCTTGAATGGTAAACATAAACCAAAAAACAAAGAGTTCTGTCGTTCATGTAAAAGTAATAATTGTTTCAACGTTTCATAAATATTCTAAATATTTTAGGTGGAACGTTTTTTTGTCTTCTTCTCATGGAAGCCCCCACACGGTAGCCCCGCAGGTGGTGTGGTTTTATGGCGGGGCGGGTGGAATGGTGAATGTCACCGCAACAATTTTTTGATCTGAAAATGCAATCCCTGGTGAGAATGGGATGCTGGAACATTAACGATTGACCCTGGAGCTGCTGCTGCTGCTGCTGCTGCTTCCCGTCACGTTTCGTCAAACGTTTCGCGAGATGCTGAACAAAACGCTCGTGTCCATTCGCACGAGCCCAGCGGCATTACGAATGTTCAGTTGCGTGGTTTTTTTTGTCCGATGTGCGCGGCGCGTGCTCCGCGTACGTGCGCAGAAGTGCCATGGGAGCGGTGTCCAGTGCGCGTTGGTCGCCAAGTATGTCCAGCCGGGTGTCCACGTCCGACCGTACGCGCGAAGAAAGCGCTGCAGATCAATCCTCGATGCTTCATGAGCCTCCGTTTTGGTTCGCTGTATTTAATGTCCCCTAGTGTGCGTTAATGATATTTGTATTTTTTTTTTATTGTGAATGTGCAGTTAAGATTAATAAAGTGGTTATGCTAATGCTTTGCGGAATGTGTTACTGCATTTCTTTTTTTTTAAACACTTTTTAAACGCTGTGATGCCAGTGTTGTATGTATGTTGAACTTCTTTCCCACCGTACGTAGCCAACCGTGCTAATCGGACTTGCGTGCTAATGTTATAGCTTCCTCTCTCAACCCACAATAGCAGTCGTACTTAATAAGATGTGGTGCATTGTCCAAGTTGTTAAAAACCTCGTGCCAGTGCTTGGCAAGATGTGGAATTTACGAAAGTTTTACGGTAAGGTCATCCCATTTGACTGGACAGAAGATGGGTGGGTACCTCTAATTGTGCGAGAAGCAGCCGCACTTTTACGAGAAAAGTATGAAGTTCCTTACTTTATATTAGTATGCAATAGTGGGAACAAAGACGGGTCTCAGGATAGTTCCTATATTATCTAAGTGTGACTTCATCAAAAACAAAATTCAGAAGTGCACTACTTAGAATCAGATGAGCAGTATTTTTCACTTGCATCGTTAATATTGACTCGCTTGTGTGCAATTACCCTTAAACAAATGGACTTGATGGATTGTTAGTGTGATTATGCCACGCCAAACGAAGGGTACTTGAGTGATTTATGGCATGTGCGTGTTTTATATAATAGCCGTCGGATTGCTTACACTTCCTTGACGCACGGTTGACTTCGGCGTCCTTTATATGGTATCGGGGGTTGCGTGTGCGACCGAGCACCGGGCATCCTGCACACGCCAACCATAGGTCATGAACTTTGCCGTGATTTTCTTGCGTGCGTTTTCGTGGGACGTGGAGGAAGGGCCGTGGCTGGGCGGGGGGGGGGGAACTCTTCCTTCGCTAAACGTGGATTTAGTTAAGAGTGAGACAATACAGTCATTCTGGAGGCGACCGGTCACAAGTTTGTAGCAATGTTCAAATACCTACAGGAGAGCTATCGTCCGTGGCTCTATTACCCACGACTCCACGGCAGCTATAAGTTCCACGAAAACTCCTGTCGTCTGCAGCCCTATTCCTATCATGCGTGGGTTACCCGTGAATTTTTACCTTGCGCACGGATAAGAGGAGCAAAGTCGCTGATAACCCAGCGGATATTAGGACCTATGATATTTGTCCCCAAGATGAGTTCTGTATCCGAAGACTCGTTAAACCTTGTTGAACTGGAGGTAGTTATTGAGAGCAAATACATTGGGACATTGTTGGCCTCACGCAATGGCGGATTGTCCGGCTTGCTCACCTGAATGTGGAATTGTAGTTGATGCTCTGCATCGACACCAGCCCATACGACAAGAAGAATGGCGGATGCGGGAAGGGGGGGCAATGAGGGTGTTCCCATTGAAACCTCAATTAACACCTCTCCCCTTAGGTGAGAAGGGGAAGACCTCATACTTCTGGAAAGTGGCAACCTTTTCTGTAACAGACTTGAGAAAGATTATTGAGCAGTGGGATTCTGGGGTTGTCCGTCATACGCGAAGGCTATACACCACTACAACCTTGAAGATAATTTAAATCCGTGCTCCGACAATAAATCCGTGAATATGAAGCTCACCGATCAAACACGTGAATACATTCAGCCAACCTGCAGGGGAGAATGAAACGCGTTGCAACGTCGCAATTCGTGACGACTGTGACGTGTGGAACAGAAAAAAATGAAATGGAACAATAGCTTGAACGTGCGCAAGAAGGGTGGAGAGGTGTAGCATGTTTGGAATTGCACTTCGAGAGGAGAACAAGGACCACCTCGACGAGGGAACGAACAGTCGCTTGCAGTTGGGAGCCATTGCATTGACCATGAAGAGAGAGGTAAGTGGTGGGCCTAGGCAGGAAACGTGGTCGAGACTAGCGACTGAGTGGCGGCCAAAGGTTAATAAAGCACAGCCAAGAGGCTGTAACACCGCAGAGATGCACCATGCATGCTGAACCTCTGTCGCACCGTACGTAGCCAAAACCAGCGGAGATGGTGCGATGAAATAGGGTGTCGACGTGCAAGGCAAGCGACACCGTGCCGGG